TGCTCCTGCTCTGGGCTAGAGGCCCCACTGCTGTTGAGGATCTGAGCATCAGTGCAGTGTAAATTTTTTAATTCATAAAGCATGTGCACAGGCGATGGGAAAAAGGAGGGTGGCTTGGGCAGGCCAGAGCCGTGTCCCAACTCTCTAATAAGTATCAGAAGATCCAAAACCCTTAGTAACCTTTCTCTATTTATAGATTTTCCAATTTTTGTCAAGGGAGGAATAACCAATTGAGCAATACAATAATCTGGGAAGATTTGAACTGTGTTTTGAGTCGATTGAACCATAACCCTGATTTTCCTTTGCAGCTAAAACAAGCAACATTGTTTCTTTACTTCCTTGTCTGGGCCAGACTCTAGGCTCACTGGAGGTTCTGGTGCCCTTCCCCTCCTGGGGCCTGTGAAAAGTAGTGGGAGGGGCAGAAAGCTGCAGTTTTATTAAATAACCCTTTACAATCTGTGGAGGGCCAGCTGATTTGTGTTGGTTTGTTTTTTCCCTAGTCTTGCTCTAAGCTGTTTTTCATTTCCTCCCAAGTATGTCAATTTACAATTTCTTCTTCTGGAGACAAACTCAAGAAATTTAGCAAGCTGTGTAGTATCAGTCTATCGACAACTAAAATTGATTTAAGAAAGCAGAAAGGACCTAAATAAACATAGAGTTACGTTAATCATGAATTTGAAACAAGTACCTCTGTAGTAAACAATTTTGAAAACCAATGGCATTTGAGAATTTACATTACCAGGTATCAAGACCACTACAAAGCCATAGTGAGACAGTGATATGCTGGAGCCAGCCTGTTACCAGCTAGTGAAAGCCAAATGCTGAATTTTTAGAAATTTTAAAGGTTAGTTCTTGTAGTATTGGTTGTTTGAAATTGCCTTTTGTAAGAGCATTTTGTAAACAGAAATCAACAAACCACAAATCAGGACCACATTACCCCCCAATCATTAGGAGCCTGCCGGGCCAAGCAGGGCTGTGCCATCTCAGGGAAGCCATCCGAGCTGTCACACCCTATTTTTTGGCAGGACTGCTGCAGGCCCTGCTGGAAGTTTTGAATTTATATTGAGTGGCCAAATGATGCCCTGCTCTACATTTCGGACAGAGAGTGGAAGGTTTTGCTGAATGGACAGTTAGTGGCTCAGTTAAGGTTATCAGGGTGGGGTCATGCTGCCATCTTTCCCCTGCTGGGGACCTGATTCTGAAACAGTGCCTGGAGCCAGTTCTCTTGTAACTGTTTCAAGAAGCTTAAGGTTATTAAGACCCTGTCTCATCCAGATTCACAGAAGGAATGTAAATACTGGAATCAAGCATACAACAAACAGTTTGTTATATATTTGTGATTCTTTTGGATAGATTTGTCCTATAGTTAGACAGCTGATATAATCAATATACCTCTTTTTTTCTTTTCAGGGGAAGGGGTTTCTCTCAGGCCTGTTTATAACTGGCCCTAAAGAATAAAGGAGTTTCAATGCCCCACTCTTTTTTTTTTTTTAATCGGTACCGGGGATCGAACTCACGACCACCTGCTTGCAAGGCAGGTGCTTATGCCGCTGAGCTAAATCCCCAGCAATGCCCCATTCTTTACACCTGATGAAGCCAATATCAATACACTCCAGTAATGACTATTGACCTACACCAATGCACTTGTCTCCCTGAATTGCAAGCACATGAGAAGTGTCCCCTCATCCTCAATCTCTTACCCTGTCCCTGTTGAGGCACCATATGCCACCCCTAATACAGCTCCTGAGGTTCTTGGGGTTAAGGACCAGCGAGAGGATGAGAAAAATAAAGACAAACCGGGATCAGGTGGAGCCCTTATCCTCCTAATGGGAGGAAAGGAACTGTTCAACCACTGTAGCACCTTTATTTATACACTGGGAAAGATGGTCAATTTCAGCCCCTCTGCCTAGCAACCCATTGCTTGGCAGGCCTGGGCTCCTTGTCTTCTTGGTACGGGAACAACTTGTTTACATAGCTTGTTTTGGTCTGTGTCTTCTGGACTTGCTTGCTTTAGCCCCACATGTGTGACCAATCTCCAACTTCAACAGCTGCCTACATATTAACATATCAGACCACTTGACAGGGAAGATGTTACCCAGAGGGCCACCTGAGAAGGATCTGAGAGAAATAAAAGCCCGGAAGTGATGAGCTGTGGATCCTTTCCTTGCCTCCCTCCCTCTCCCTCTCTGGCATTTTGTCTTCCTCTTCCTCATCTGCCTTTCCTCCCCCTTCTCTTCCCTTCTCCCCTCCAACCTCTCTGTCTCTTTGTTCCCCGAGGCTTTCCGGGGCTCCTCCCCCCAGACATTTACCCAGATCCGTCCTCTGGCCTTAGGAGGTGACATTAGCTTCAAGAGCCACTTGGACAAGTTTCAGGGGTGCCTTCTTTGCTTGCAGGGAGGGACCAGATAGGCAAATGTAGAAAAGGCTCCCCTGGGTTCTCCTGAGCTTAAGTGTGGGCTTAAGGTTCTCCCCATGTGAAGTCCCATCTCTGTAAATTAGACTCTTGATTCTGGAGTGTGCATGCATGTGTGCATGTGGGCTTGTGTGTGCATGTGTGTGGTGTGCTACTGTAGGATTGAACCTAGCGCCTTTGAACTGAGCCACATCCTGTTAATTTTGAGGCAAGGTCTTACTAAGTCACTAAATTGCTCAAGTTGGGCTTGAATTTGCAATCCTCCTGCCTCAGCTTCTCAGAGTGCTGGAATCTGTGTTTTCCAAGAAGCAGTGGGGTTGCTACTGATGCGGATAGAGCTGGTCCTGTGTCCGGGAAGCATTTTCACTGCCCATGGAGTTGTGTTAAAAGCAGTTCTTTCATGTGCGGCCTGACTCTTCCTCCCTGTGACGTTAACTTCCCTGCCTGCCCTTGAGACGTTAGAAAACACCAAGCGTTGGGGCAGGTGCTAAGTACACATGCTTGTCAGTATCGATGGTTTTCAGACTCCAGGCCCAGGCCTAAGGGAGACTGCCAAGTACTCACAGTTGCTGTATAAAAAGCAGAGTTAACCTTAGGGCCTGCTGTCCCTGTGGTCTGCAGGCTGCAGACTGCAGGATGCCCCAGGTCATCTCCGCTGTGCATTTGCCTCCTCTAGCTGCACAGCCATCTGCACACAGAGGCCAGTGGACCTCTTCTAATGCCTCTACCCTTAGTTGCAGGCTGCTCTCAGCACTGTCTGGACTTCTGGCTCCTACAGAAATCCTGATTTGATTCATCCAGTTTGGGTTCAGTACACTCTCTAGTTTGGTTACTTGAGACAAGAGAGGGATCCATGCAATGCCTTTGCAGGTTCTGGGAGGAAGTGGCGGACCATGAAGCGCATTGCCATCACTGGTGCGGTTAGGGAAGTTACAGCTGCAATGGCAGAGGGTGGTGTAATAAGTACATCAGCATGACTGGCAAGAGGAAATTAGACTCCTGGAAAACCTCATGAGGCTTCGCTCACAGAAAGAGAACAGGACACACTATTGCTCTTGCGCTGTCTGCCTTAGGCACGTTGCATACCTACTTATTTAATTCAAGCAGCAGTGCTCTGTGCCTGGCTAGAGCCACTTGTTAACCTCATGCAACTACAGCAACAGTGTTGGGGGTCCCCACTGATGTCTGTGCTTCTCCCAGGAGCCCCACACTGTGTCACCACATAGTCAGAAATCCAGGCACCAAGGCCAAGGCAGGTTAGAGGTCACGATGAGCCAATGAGGCTCTAAGACTGCAGCCCACACTTAAGCTCAGGAGAACTCCACTCAGCACTCCAGATGGCACAAGGGCCACCTACATGAGTGGTCTCTTCTGCCCAGGAGAAGGTTTCTGCCACCTTTACAGGAGTGTGGAGAGGGTTACAGGTGACAGGTACAGACAGTACTTTGTGCCTTGTGTTTAAGGCAACAGTTGCTCAATACATGGTTACCATAATAATAATAATAATAATAATAATAATAATAATAATAACATACCATTGGAATATTTGTATATTTACTCTTAGTTTCTTGAATGAAAGAAGTCCAGAAAAGTTCCTTAGATCTAGTAGATGCTGAGAAATATTTGATGGGTAAATTTATTGTACAAAGAAATATTTGATGAGTAAATTTATTTCACATTTAGAAACAGGGAAAGATGCATAGTAAAGGTGTTTTGGTGTGAACTACAGTACCTGATACAATGCAATATGTAGTGTGTATCGGTGGGTTGTCCCTCACTAACGGTGCAAGAGCTGATGCACACTAATGCAACGTTTCTATCCATCGCTGACACATATCCTCCTGTGACACTGTCGCTCATGATTTTGTCTCTAGTTTTTATTGTGTCAAATTGTTCCTTTACTCCATAAGAAGCAATCAAATGGGTCCAAATATGTCAAAATAAAATAATAATTAATAATCTTTGCATTCAGAATCCAGGGGCTCCTGGAGATATCCTTCCCATCTCTCATATTCAGCCCCCCTTTCTGTGACATGAGGTCCTCTCTTTGCCACTTATTATTGATACCCGTGGACACCACTGGCTTCCTCTGAGTTTATCCCTCTTTCTACACCAAGCACTCTAATTTTTGTCCCAGAGCATGGAGATTGGATCCTTTGCATTTGACTTTTCCTCTCCAATTTGCCTCCACACTCTAGCTTGCTGAATCTCTTCTATTTCCTGTGATGGAGAGTGGGTATGCCATGCTTCTCCCTCTGAACTTCCTTGAGATTGCCCATGGACCTCCATGATGTTATCACAGTGCAGGAAGAACCATTTCCTTGGGTGCAGACATCACATCATTTGTGAGACTCAGCCCTCATCCAGTCTGTGAAGGAGCTAGGATAGCCGGATAGCCCTGTGTGTTTCAGCTCCTCTAGTTTTTCTGCAGCTAAAAGGTGGAGATGGGAATGTAGAAATGGAAGGTCCTTCAGGGAACTGACTTGATTTTCTGGAGGAAATCACCCTCCAGAAAGACCATTACTGCTAACACTCCAATGAGCTTAGCTTCTCTCTCTCTCTCTCTCTCTCTCTCTCTCTCCCTCAGGACACCCGCCATGATTGGCTGCTCCTTCGTGGTCAACAGGAAGTTCTTTGGTGAAATTGGTCTTCTGGACCCTGGGATGGATGTGTATGGAGGAGAAAATATCGAACTTGGAATCAAGGTTTGTGAAATAGCTTGTCTCCTCTTGATTTATTTGTGGTAGTGAGCAGAGTTGCTCAGTCACCTTTGAGGTATATTTAAAGCTCCTTGGAACCCCACTCCTAGGGAAGGTTTAAGCAAAGTTGTCACTTCTCCTTAGACAGAGCAATCTGGGCTTCACTTTTCTCAAGATTGACTTAGTTGTTTCATTCTTGGTGGCCTGCTCTGGGTGCTCACCGGAGAGTTTGATTCTTACTTATATCCAATTTTGTTTTCTCCTTAAGTTTTCTTAAAATTAAGTGACCTATTTGAATGAATAATTCTGTCCTGGGGACTTTTATTATTTGTATTCATATATTAATTTATATTAATAAGATGTCAGAGAAGGGACGCCCCATATTCTGGGGATCCTCCATTTCTCAGAAATGCTTCTGTCTGGCAGAATGAGCCCATTACTGGGCTCCAGGCTGAGATAAACTGAGATCAGCTCCAGTGGAATGAATCTTCTATACTGGTTCTATTCACTGTTTTATTTGCAAAACTAATTCTACTGTTTAAAAAATAAATTGGAAACCATTGGTGCGTTCCAACCTCTCCATTTTAGAGTTAAGATATATCAGTCCCAAGGGGACTAAAGACAGGAGGACATCCTTAATAGCTGATGCCAAAGGTTTCTACAGGACCAAACTTTGGTCAGACTCCAGAATATTTCTTAGGTCCTTCTTTGCACTTCCTGGGAGAATTCAGTTTTAGCGAAAACCTACTACGCAGTTTTAGCAAGAAACCTTTACCCTTGATGTCTGATCACTGTCCTCATCTGGTCAGGTTCCTAATCCTCCACCTCTATCCCCACATGATGTCTGCTCCTTCTATGCTGTCTCCAGACCAAGCCCTACAGAGCTAGAATCCTTTAACCTCATGCTTCCTCGTAGTAATTTTCCATCCACTGACTCCCAATGGGTCTTTTGCTATAAATTTCAACTTGCCCATGCTGTACTGAGAGCTGAGCCTAGGGTGTGTGTCATTACAGACTCTCACTGCCACAGGTCTTACACCTGTCACAACAGCTTAGAATAACTTCTTCCTCTGACAAGTGTCATAAACTTTTTCTTACCACCAATAAACACCAAACAGTAGATTTGCTGCTTCTTCCTGATGTATCTAATACTAATGTTTAAAATACAGGCTGCGGCTCTGTGTCACTGCTGTCTCTCCTGAACCTCTGTGTACCTGAGCAAAGCTGGCTTGCATATGTGGGAAGCAGGCTTGTTGGAAACAACTCAGGACACAACTGTAATGTTTCAGGCATATTGTATTTCTTCTGCTTCTCTCGGCTGAGGTCTTATTTTTATTCTGCCTGGATGGGGACCCAGTGCATAACCCGGAGACCCAATCAAACAAAACCTGCTCTCTGCATCTGATCTCACTGGTTTTCCCTAAATAGTATCTTTGAGATACCCATTGGACTTCCCATCTGCACTCAACCTTCTTTTTGCAAGATGAAAAGCTTTGTCCCCTTCCCCCTTATGTAATGGGCATGTAATGAATGTCCACTGTAACGAACCTCCCTAGGCTGCATGACGGAAGGGGATGTCGGGGACCATCCCTGAATCCTAAAATCATCCCTTTTTCAAGACTGCAGGTTCTTCTTTTTGCACTTTCAGTTCCAGCCAGGTTCTTTCCTCAGTGGAATTTGTATCAGATTTTCTTTTATAGCCCCACTACTCAAAAGCCCACGATCGTGTATTCATCATTCATCCATTTTGGATTTAATTAGGGGAAAAGGTCTGGACCCAGCATGTTGAACCTTTGCCTGCAACTTTAATTGCAACCCTACCATTTTCCCCTTCCTCTCTGTACTTTTTCACCTCTTCCTTGTCTTTGTACTCATCAGTTTCCAGTATAAGACAGAAATTTATTTTTCACATGTGTATTGGTTTTCTCTCTCTTTCCTTCATTGCAGTTTTCGCACTGCAAGTTCTGTGGGGTGCAGATATTTGGGTTTTTTTTTTCTTTTCATCTCAACCATGTAGGACCAAGCCTGGTCCATAGCTCAGTTTGTTAAATGAATGACTGAACAATTGCCTTGAAAACTGAATGTGAGTAGGAGCAGTAAAGCAGGAGAGACATAGCAGATTGGAAGGTAGTGATGATTACATGGGAGATGAGGCTGTGCAAGTTCAAATAGCATCTTGCTGGTCCTTACCTATGAGTGCAAGGAGCTGAAGGAAGCCCTGTATGGAAATAATTGAATTTTCTATTTTTTTTTTTCATTTTATTTTGAAGACAAGGGAGAATGAATATCTCCATGTCTTGAGAAAGGCATCAGGTGAGCCATCACTGTTGTTATGGTTTATATTCAGATGGCCCCTCACCCAAGTATCATGTAATCTTGGACTCAGCTAAATCTAGCACTTGTGATTGGCTCATGGTCCAGCACTTGGATTGGTGGTCTAAGTGCTACACCCACCCAAGAGTGGAGTCAGCATACAGTGTAACAGCGGGAAGAAAGCGTGTCATTCATTCTCTTTTGGTGTTCATGCTTGCTGTTTGCAGCTGGTCATGAACCTCTGCCCTTCAGCCATGTCATTTTGCCTGGGAGCCGACTAGTATGGACTGAAACCTCCAGCCTGTAAGAAATAAACCTTCCCTTCCCTAACTTTAGACATCAGGTATTTTGTCTAAGCAATGAGAGAAAAAAATAACTAAGACACCAGCAGAGCAAAGAGCAGGCAATGGGTGACACACTATCCCTGGGGAGGGAGAAGTGCAGGTGGAGAGATTGTTGGGACAAAAGGGACACTCTCAGATTTGAGTGCTCCCAAAGGACATCAAAGACTGTGAGAGCAGAAGGCATTGTGAAGGCTGATTGGGGAGGTGTTAACTTCCCCACACTCACAAAAGCATTTACTTTTGTTTTAAACTGGAAATTTATTTTACTAGCTTTACTGACTATCATTAACATAAAATTGTGTGTTTAAAATGTACTATCTATCTACAGCCACAGTCAACCAAATTAGTGTATCTGCACCTACATGGTTACCATTGTGTGAAGGATATATTAGCCAGTTTCCTGTTACTAGGACAAAATAGCCAACACCAAAACCTTAAAGAAAAGGTTTATTTTAGCTTACAGTTTTAGAGGATCAATCCATGGTCAGCAGGCTGGAAGGCAGAATTGACATGGTACAAGGGCCTGGTGGAAGGAAACTGTTTAAATCATGAGAGCCAAAAATTAGAGAGAGAAAGGAGGAGCTGGGGAAAAGAATAGACCCTTCCAGTGTATTCATCAGCCCTCAGTGATTCTACCTCCTCAGCACATTCAGCTACAAACCCACTGATGTGTACAGCACAACTTTGGCCAAGTCACCTTCTAAATGCCATTACTGAACATAAGAGACTTTAGGAGGACATTTTATTTTCTTTTTGGTACTTAAGATTCATATTCAGTAAAGGCCAAAATTTAAAAGTAGAATATTGATGAATAGTGACTCCATATAGTTGTAGAAGTCAGTTGTAGAAGAAGTTGTAGAAGTCAGGAACTGAGTTGTAGAACTCAGGAGCATTTGGCAGAAGCCCTTTATCTTTAATGCCAACCTCTGTTTGTGCAGAGATGTTAACGCAAGTGCATCAAGTAGAATTTCAGAGCAAACAGACTCCTCCCTTAGTGAGAACCTATCTCAGAATTTAGAAAAAAAAAAGAGTTTAAACAACTGGGATGCAGCTCAGTGCAAAGGCCCTGAGATCAATCCTCTATACTACCAAGAGTTACTTTGTCTTGTTTTAAAAACTATGTTCCTGTTCCTTGGATATTGTAATATTTTATACTGCTCAAGGCATAGATTATTTGAAAAATAAATGTATTTTAAAAGATCTCTCCCTATTGCTTGAAAAATTCAGAATTTTCTGTAAATATGTCTATACATATATATGGTTTTTGTGTAATGTATACTCATACTTACATAAACAATTTTATTAGAACAAAAAATCCTGTGTTTTAGTTAACATTTTTAATGTACATTTTCATGTAATATTATGTATTTTAGAAAGTTTTTGATGTGAGAACAGTGTCTTTTCTTGTTGATATTTGCAGCTGTTTCTTGGTGATTTCTTTCACCAAATATAGACCCATCTCTGATCTTTGTCATTCCCAGGAGTTTTTGTTACTTAATTTTATTCTCAATATATAGTGAGTCATGAGAATAGAGGAAATAAAAAGACTTCGTGTGGTTCAAGAAAAAAATAAGTAGAGTTGACTGTAGGGGTATTGCTTGGATGAATGACATCTTGTCTGTGATCAAAGCGATTAATAGAGTGAAGGTGAAGAGCTCTTTCTGGGATTGAGAACATAAGTAAAATTAGAAATTGGAAGGCCCCTTTTTAATTGTGAGTAGCATTAATCAGAAACAATAAAACATGATAGTAACATGTCTAAATGTTAAGAAAAAAAATCTCCAGACAGAGAAGAGATAGGTTACTTTTAAATGATGTAAAACCAAATGGCTTCAGACTTCTCCAATATATCATCAGTTTGAGAAGAAAAGACATTAACTCCTCTGAACTGTTCCTTAAACAGCCAGCAATCAAGAATGCTGAATCCTGTCAGGCAGGTATTGCTAAGGGGAAACAGTGAAAAGGTTCTTTTCAGATCTTCTAAACTATCAGAAAATGTCTTAGCATCCTTTATTCAAGAATCCTATGGACTGAATAAAGGCAGAATGCCTGTGTGTGCACGTTGGTTAAAACAGATGACCCATAATGGAAGTAAACAAACAGGAAGACTTGATAGTGGGCAGGTGTGATTACCTTCTTGCTTGGTCTGATCCAGCTTCACACCTTTCCGTGGTGTAATCTCTGCAGGGACCTCTTGCTGAGTTCCTCAAGATCGGCAGCAAAGAATTCAGATGCTAAGTCTTCACTGGTTTGGCCATGTCATGGTGCCTGATGGCAGAGGATGCATATATTTTAATTTATGCAGGGTAATGATAACATTCTTAGAAGGCAGAGTTTATTGGATGCCTA